GACAATGAACAGAGTTACGCTTTGCAATGGGCAAACTTTGCGTCGTCGGCCACATAAATCACGACCACTTCCTGCGGGGAATGCCGTCTTCACGTCGCGAATGGCCTTGTAACTTAAACGCAACACGTGCCGTTGAGGGCTCGGCCAGCACCTACGTCAGACTCACTGGCGTTTAGGCAGAGTCTACCACCTCCACCTTCATAATCATCATCATCATCGCCAACATCATTGGCAACGGCAATCGTTTTGATCCACTGTTGGTGAAGGTCTCCCCAAGATTTTGCCTTAAAACCCTGTCTGCTGCGCGTCTTATGGACTTTTCTCTAACAGATTTCTTGGGCTCACCCAGAGGTCTCCTCTGGGCCTTGTACTGGCTGGTGGAGTCAGTTCTTTTTGCAGTGTTTCAAACGCATTGCCATTTAAATTTCTTCGTACTTCTCATGAAATCGCAAGTTCGTATTTGTCTTCCTATTCGAAATATATGCCTTTCCATGCTGCATTGCGTGATCTACAGTATGTCAACAGGATTCGTACCTAGGGTCTACGTGCGCGTCCGTAAGTTGGCACTGTGATCTACGTTGGTCGAAGACCTGCCTTTGATGCAGAACAGCAGTTTATTTGATAAGAGCATTCTTAATCTCGCAAAAACGTACAATGCCTCATTTGCTGTTCTGCCAAGTTCATTTTCAATCACCTTGATCGTCTGTCCCTCATTGACGTAGCTTTGCACCTTTTTAAGCCTACGTCTATGGAGGGGCGGGGTTGTCTATTTGTTTAACATGACACGAGTCTTCTTATGTTCATTTTCAGTTGTGCCTTGATATTGGCACCGTTCAGCTTTCAGATTCTTCGCAGGATTTTTTCCAGAGCCTTCTGAAGATCAACTATCAACTGACCTGGGAAGGCCTGTAATTTGTTGTCACTGGTGGACTACCAGAGAACCGAAAGAGCAGCAGTGACTACTGTGTTAAGCTTCATTTCGTCCTGCAAGGCGAATGAGTACAAATTGATTATGAAATATCTTGAAAAATGAAAAATTGCAAATTACAACGTCCTATGACAAATCATGATTTTTATTTGTAATGTTTCTACGACAAGACTGAGAAAGCAACAGCGTCAAAGGTCATAACTGATCTTTGTCGTCCATCATTCACCCAGTCTCTAGGAATGGATTCCAAGACTTGACAACGCAAGGTGTGCAGTGACTCAAGAGAACCGATACGCAGTATGTCCCTTGACCATTTAATGTGTGGTTTCATGAACAGAGTCAGTCGTTCCTTTGCATCGAATGTCAAAACTGTCGCAATTGTGACTCTTCGATTTCGATGAGGGTGGAATCTCGGATTGTGGAGTCCTGAAGCACGTCGAGTAGCCATTCAAAGAAATCCCATTTTATCTGCTTTTATCCAGGATCGCCCTGTTTCTGTTAGCACTCATGACCGCCAATGAGGGTAAATGCACATTCAGACTGGAAGACAAACATTTTGCACAACATTTCTCAGCTCTTTTTCCATCACTAAAGACCGTTAAGCTCCTGCATTACGAGGCTTCCCTAATCAATTCCGGCACTTGTTTTTTCTTGCTGCTTGCCGTCGCTGTAAATGCCTCTCAGATTAATATGGTGCAATGGCAGATTCGAGATGAAGGTAATCAAATCAGATACTCATCA